GAACAAGACGAGGCAAGTTTCGGGTCTGGCCTGCCTCCCCCAGAAAATTTTGAAATCTAGAGGCTCAGAAATGCTCTTTCAAGCATTTTCCATGGCACTTTTCTTTAGAAAGGTCAATCTTGGGCAAGTGTGGAAGTTCACTTTTTTATTGCCAAGGGATACTGGTGCAAAAAAAAAAAAAGGAAAAGGCCAAAATCAAGACGAGGCAATTGCCTCGTCTTGCCTCATGCTAGCTACCACCCTGTCAAGTCATGTGAAAACCAAGAAAGTATGCAAACATCACCAGTCAAGAATTTAATTAGAAAAATTAAAAAATTTAATTAGAATTCACAATTATGGCAGATTTATGTACATTATCTTAATAAATTTTTTTTAGCAATAGATATGGACCTCGCAAGAGATTCATATGCTCTTAACAGTGCATATAGTTAGATATTCTTAAATCCTGTATTTATATTATTTGTTTAGCATTTATTTAGTAGGTTAGATTTACTTTTCTAGTTCTCTTTTTATTGTAAAGTACAATCGGGCTAAATGGAAATGACACTATATAAATTTTGTTACTATATATATTATATTATATAATCAAGCATGCCAAAATTAATGGCTCTTGGTTTAAATGGATTTTTGCAACAAACATGCTTTTGGGCTTTGCCGGTGAAGTATTTACTGTCGGTTTTTAAAGTGGTTTTTTGATCGTTTTACCCTGCATCATACATTAGAGAAACTCAACCGCCGTCCGGTCTTTTCGTGAACCTATATTTAAAATATTTATTTGAACAATATACCTTATAAGGAAACAACATAAATATATGGACCGAAATGTTCTAATGTACCTAGTCGAGATAGTCCTGCATGCATGCATGGTGTAATTTATTAAGTGCACCTAAATTACGCCATATAACTGATATTATCCCACTTTTGTCAAATATAAGGAGCCTGTAGTTTGCATAAGCCTCTAGGGGTTTCCTGACGCCACATGTTAAATCTTCAGTTACATTTAAATACCAGATATTCATGTGAGTGTACTTCCCTTTATTTAAACTAATGCATTTTGATAAAATGAAAAAATTAACAAAATAACGATAAACAACATAAAAGCTAACCATTATTTTTCATCCTGGGTTTATTTTTGGTTAAAATCAGTGTCAGAATTGCGTGGAAAATGCTGACAAATAACGTTGTTTAGTTTAATTTGATCTTACAACTCAGGTTAGTGAGAAGTGATCGTTATCGTTTCTCATTCCATATTCGTTACCGGTCAAAGTAGTAAGTAAAGGAGCGATCCTAAACTAGCGAGTAAAAACAACAGAAGCCTACTAAATATTGATAAGATATCCTAATAGTAGCATTAAAGAAAGCTTAGTTTATTGGCTGTGGGTATATTCTAGCTCGCTGCATCGGAAAGAAGGAACTGAATGGGGGGGGTGGGTACCGAGTAACCACCGTAAAAACCGATGTAAAGCGCAGAAGGCAACACTTACATCAACATCTCTCCAGTGAGTGTGGAGGTACGACATTTCATCAGAGTTATTTTCACATCTGTAAGAAATCTTCTAGGAGGGTAAGTAATTAATTGACTTCGGGGACCTTTTGGACACAAGCGTGAGATTATCGAAGAATTTACACTTATGACAACAATCTGAGACCAGAGCCCGCAATCCAGTACTGGTCAGAGTTGGGGAAAATGTATTACAAGATTGAGAGTCACATTGTCGAAGATTGTCACGCAGCCAGTCACGCGAACAAAAAACCGGTTTTGTCTTGAATAGGAAACCACCCTGCAGAAAAATAAGACCAGATAACATCAGCATTCAAGTGATTAAACAGCTGGGAGTAGACGAAAAGAATTTCAATTTTTAACGATCATCAGCTTCTAGTCTTTACGGATGCCAAGTAAAATTATCAACTCAGTCATGTAAAACCAGTTATCTTGTTATAACCCCTACTGACGTAGCACCATAGTAAACTTACCTTCTTTATTCAAAAT